CAGCAAAAACGTGTGTTCGCACTGAGTGTCAGAAAAGTTTTATCTTTTTGAACAAGGCAAATACATACTTCACATGACCAACCAGCTCCTCATACAGGAATACTAAGGGCTTATTTAGACATGTGTATGCTTATCTACATTTTTGTCAAGAAATAGAACAAGGTATTTCCCCCATAAAATTAGGGATAAGAAAACCACCAGAGACCATTTGGGATCTCCTAGTCACCTCAGTTTTGCAGAACTGCTTGTAAGTGAGATATGAGGGCTCTTTGGGAGTTGGAGCTGCATCTTTAACAAAAATTTCTGAAGGAAAAGAAAAAAAGAACACAATCTAAATGCAGTGTACAGTTGAAGAGAAAAACAGACCAATTTGCAATCTGAAGGCCAGTGGGCAATAATTTCTGCTTCTGAAACAAAACTTCTCAGCATTTGTTCTGTTACAGATGCTGTTTTCTTTGGATCCCAGGAAAGCTGCCTGGTTCCTATAGCAACAGATACAGGGGAAAGCTTTTCACTTGTAATTGGCCACTCCTTTACAATTATACAAGCTATTTTTCCCTAACCTTTTAAATATGCAGAAAATAAGAGAGTAGAATTATGAAAGCCAATAGAGTACACAAGAGTACTTAAAATACACAAGTTAATTGGCTGATAATTTTACTAGTAACATTTTTTTTCCACCACATCAAGTACATTACAAATATTTACAAAATAATACTCAATTCTTACCAAATAATGAATAGAAAAATTATTCAACTGATATATCCTAAACTGTCAATAGTACAGCAATTATTCACCCCTTGCTGTTTCAGTGTGTATCTGTACAATGACAGTTTATATTCTGGTAGGGTAGGAGGGACACAAGACAGAGTACAATTTAAGTCAGAGAAGTCTGCTGCCTTGCTGATGAAATCAACACTCTAAATCAGAATCAGCTTAAATGAGACATTTTTTTACTAATTGTTGACAATAAAGGTCTCCTGATGGGCAATACATGTATCCTGCAACTGGGCTGTATTAAAAGCAAACCCACATACCCTTTCTTAAGCTGTAATTTACTCACAGGGAACTGAAATCTAAGCAGAACATATTACGACTTCATTAAAACACACTGCTTCAGGTCCTGCTAAGACAGTTTGAAGCCAGCACTCTCACCAAGTGTTCCGTACCAGCATTGTACCTGTCTCCTACAGACAAATGTAAGGGCTAACAGCAGATGCGTGTATCTCACAGAAATCTTGTTCCGATGTGAGGATTTCATTTTGGTTTGCTTCCAGCAGAAAATAACTGTGCCACTGCACTAAGAGCAATAATCTAATTCCTGTGTTAAGAACAGCTTTGTGATAACTTAACTCCAGGCATACTAGGCTCACAAACAGGATCACAGGAGACCAAAAGTCAGGTACAGAACCTATGGGTTCTGACGCAATCAGCAAGACTTTTCTCTTAACTTCTTGATTTCACACATCAACTTGTCAAGGCCACTTCTCTGATCTGCTGCAGTTACCATATAAGCCTTATTAGTAGCTTTATTCCTTCATTCTTTTATACAGACTCATAGAAAGGTATCCCATTATAGGATGGCCTACAGAAGGCTAAGGTTATCAAGAAGAGATAAGCAAAACTTGTAGTTGAATAGAAATGTCCGGCTGTTCCAATTACAAATTAAAATAAATTGCATAGTTCTTTCCTAGGAAATTTAAACTCTTAATAAGATTATCTGTGATGAAAAAAAAACAAAAAACCAACCAACAACTAACAAAACCCTCTGGCTCTGGATCTCAGTTTAACTTAAATGAACCCTCCCCTCCCCTCTTGCCCTCCCGCCCCCCCAATTCCATACATCTACAGAGTTTCTGGATTCTCAAGATTTTACTCCTTTTAATCACTGTTCACAGTTTTCATCATAGAACCTGGCTATCATTATGTATTTAGGTTTAAGGGCCTCCATGTGTTTTTCTCCATAATCTCTTTGCTTTCCTTTACTCAGTGTTTGTTAAAAAAACCCTCATTAAACAAAGTACTCCTTTATTCTCGGGTAGATGGAACTAAGAGGGCGAACAAACAGCAGTAATGCACTTGCTGTACAGAAGACAAAACAACATTCCAAGAAATTTTGTTAATACACACCAATGCAGTTTTATATGAGAAGGGACAGTTCCATTCAAGAGAAACTGCATTTTTCCAGGACATCTACAGTGAAGAAAACATCTCAGACCTCACATCCAGCAGTAAGTGCTACACAAACAGGAATGAAACATGACTGTATTTTTTTAATTACGCTTGCAGTGCTTATACTTGAATTTATCATGCCTTTAATTTGGTTCATCCCATTAAATGTAATGCATGGCTACCATTTGCAGCACTTTGTGTTTATGTTTGCACATTTGTATATGCTGAAATTTTCAAAAGGAAGTAATGAAAAAGGCTAACTCAAGATCCTAATAAGCTGATCCAGGATATGCTTTTGAATGAGTTTTGAGCTATCCAGACATGTCAGTTCCTTCTGTAAAAGGAAGTTAAGCCATCTTTCCCCTGGGCCCGATACAGCAAATGATATATATATGCCAAAGCAACAGTCTGAACAAACTGAAGGGATTTGGAAGTACACAGATCTTGGAGATAAGATTTAAAAAATGAGTAGCTGTTAATGTTCTCACCTTAACTATAAGCATTTTTAAAATATATATATGCTGGACAGAGTTAATAGATCTTTGAACAATTACCTGAACTAAGTGCAATACATAGATTAGAGGATCACTTGTTATGTAATACCACTAGAATACATATTGATCAAAACTTTGTTCTCTTATGTATAATGAAATGAGTACAATGCTACAGATATTTTGTGCTCAACTTTATCCCCTATTATTATGACTTTTCATAAAAGTTCTAATGCTACAGATCCATTTTGATATCATTGTTCATATTTAGCTAGAATGTCTTAGAAAGCATAATCCAGACTCAGGACCGCCCTTTCTCTATTGCTCTGATAAAAAGCCAAAACCTGCCAATTCTACAGCCCCACTTAAAAGGCAGGACATCATTTCTAATCGTCGTCACAGAGGTTTCAAACCATTGTTCTTCATCTGCTATCCCAACAGTCCAGCTGATGTAACAGCAACAATTCTGTCTTCCCAGGTGCACAGTTATCATACTGCCTAAAAATGTTCTCATTTGCCAAATGAAATTTGACTTTTTAAGCAAGAATAGCACAGAGGTTTTTTAAATGAATTTTTACAACTGTCACTTCATGGCAAAAGTGCAAATTATTTCAGACAGGTGCCTGATTAAAAAAATGCGCTTACACAACTAGAGTTGTTCCATATCAGTGTTAAAACCAATATTTTATATTATAGACAAAAGCAGATCATATTCACTCTTATGACTTGCTCAATACTGCTGCTCTGAAAATAAAATACTGATTTAGAAGTCACATGTGACTTAATTGTGAAAATACTGCAAAAAATAAATTCAATCTTATTCTCCTTCAAAAACATGAAATTTCAAAACCATTATTAAACAAAAGAACAGACAGTATTTAAATAACTGAAATAAAGCGTTACCTTTAACCATACTTAAACAAAAGACAGTATTATTAATGTTCAGTGTTAGAAAATAGTCAACAGGAGCTGACTACAGTCATCAACACACTTAAAGAAGGTATTTGAAGAGTACAATGTATTTTCTACCGCAGCGTTTTTCCTACAACGACTTCTAATCTGCAAGTTTCTAATGCTCCATTTACAATGTATATTTGTCTCGTAAGCCTGCAATCTGTATACTATTACCAAAACCAACTCTAGTAAAATAAGTTTTGCATGATGGCTTGCTGCAATCACATATGAAAGGGAAGCAGCTCCTTCCTACAAGCAATTCTAAACTACTGTCCATTTGCCATCATCTATGTTCAAGTGCCTTGTGTACAGCTGCTCAGCTGCTCTCATGTGCTGCAGGGTCACGTTCAGATATTCATTCGGATAGCTCGAATTTTAAATGCAAGCTTTCTTTGTTTGCTGATTTCTTTTTCTTTCCCCTCGCACTTCTCCTCCCCCTCGCCTTCCTCCCTGTTACACAGAGGGCTACAGCCTTGGCTACGAAGCTACCACCCAGTTACACTCATTTACAAGAGAGAAACGGGCAGACAAAAGGTGACAGCAGATAATCATCATGGCATCGGCAAGCCTGCAGTTCTTTGCTTTTATTCTGGCTCTGTTTGGTGTTTTTGGAGATATCACAGCCACCTTGCTACCAAACTGGAAGGTAAATGCAGATGTTGGTTCAAATATCATAACAGCTGTAACACAGATGCAAGGACTTTGGATGGACTGCACGTGGTACAGCACTGGGATGTTCAGCTGTACCCTGAAATACTCGGTTCTCTCTCTCCCCGTCTACATCCAGGCTGCACGGACCACCATGGTACTGTCTTGTATCCTATCGGCCTTTGGTATCTGCATCACTACAGTTGGAATGAAATGCACACGGTTGGGAGGGGACGCTGACAGCAAAAGTCACGCTTGTTTTGCTGGAGGAGTCTGCTTCATTCTTGCAGGAATCTTTGGATTAGTACCAACATCTTGGTACACGAGAGAAATTATTTCAAATTTTCTGGACCAGACCATTCCAGAGAGTGGTAAACATGAACCAGGAGGAGCGGTTTATACAGGATTCATTTCAGCAGGGTTTCTGCTTATCGCAGGTGTGATCTTCTGCACTTCTTGTTTTAAAAAGCAGCAAGGAGCATGGATTTACCCTCCAAAGCAGCACCATTTCCCATCCTCCGAGGAGGACAGCAACACAGGCTACAACCTGAAGGACTATGTGTAAATACAGTTATTTCTATCCATTGAGGCTTTTTTTGTGCCAAGTGTAGTTTGATTATTTCAAAGAATGTATAACATAGCACTTAACTTTTCTTCTATCTGGGTTGCAATTATGTTTAAGCAAGGTATTTAATTTATAGTGGCATCCACAAAAAGAATGAAGTAGGAAACAATGCTTAAGTCTACTACAAGAGTACTTTTTTTTGTTGATTTTTCAAAACATTCTTTCTGACTTTCCACATAACATTTATTGAAGAAAAAGGAATTATTTTAAAAGATAACTGACAGTACAATTAACGTACTGATAGCTTGTTACAGCAAAGATGTTTAAAACTAACTGCTTTCTATTTAGCAAATCAGGCTATCAGTACCATATAATGTTTTATAGTGAATTTTACATTTTTATCTTTATCTTTCATTATGATGCAAAGAAAAAAAAAAAAAAAAAAACCACTCATCCAAGAAGCCCAATTCAACGTTTTTTAAATAGCAGACACATCTGCCTTTCATTTTCAGTTCTAAATTGCCTTGGTAACTGAATTTCTTTTAAAAAAAAAAAAAAGAACAAAAACAACAACAAAAAAAAACCAAGCCAAGCCCCCCCACCCCCAAACCAAACCAAAGCAAAAAAAAACACAACAAAAACCCATAGCCCCAAATCTTAGGTGCACTGTATATTCAGTGCATCAGCAGTACCATTCAGATCTTGCCAAAAATGGCTCTCCCGCTCCAAATTGCCACCTGCTGTGGGTTTCATTTATTATTGTGAAAGAA